CGAGTTACCGCCCTTCTCTGGACCCCGATATCCCGGCCGTCCCCTCCCTAAACTGCCGTCGCAGACCCTATTCGAAATGACCAACGCGCGCCCATGGCTACGTGGCTGCCCGCGACATGGCCAGTGTCTTTAACTACGGGAGCGCCGTCACCAGCTGCTCCCGGGACGACCAACTACATGATCTCAGTGAACCGTCGTTCGGCCGGTTCGGCCGCTCCGCTAGCATGGACGCCGATTTGAAACGAATCATTTTCGCAACCGGATTCCTCGTGATTATTGGACCCAAGTGTGACCCGATAATACCCATACGGTGTCCCTTCAGTATTGTTGTTGGCAAAACTCACGGAAACACCCTCACCCGACCATGGACATGTTTTAGTCTCCCAATCGATCCCCAACCGTTATCATATTTCCCCAATGACCTCTGAAAGGATCGTTTCACTATCCCCGTTTTTATTCACAAAGGCAAAGAGATGAAAACAGTCAGAAAATTTTTAAGCAGAACAATGCTAATGAAGTTTATATCAAATGTTGAACAGCGCCAATAATCAAGTTCACCTTGGACTTAAGAGGTGGTGACACGAATGATGAACCAAAAGCAACCAAACCCTAAAAGCAATGATAAAACAAAAGCAATGACGAGCTGCAATCAAACCCGGTGGCCGCACGAAATGCCGGTCAGATGAATGCGCGCAGGCAGTTAACATTCAATCCCCCCCCCCTTCAGAGATTAACGGCCGGTGGGCGCCTCTGACCTGACGAGCGGAGCAGAGCCCGGTCCTGACGCCACGTCACAGCGCCAGGTGCCAGGGCGCACCGCCGCTGTGACCCCGCTAATGGCCCCATCAATCATCCCACACACCACACTCACATACCCTCACACATACGCTACTGTCCCCTCTAATCAGGCCCATCATTAAACTAATTATGCCAAAAAAAAAACCTCAGGGAGAGAGAGAACCAGGGTGGCAGACAGGGGCACAGGGTAAGGATGAGACGGGCTAGCAGACTTAAGTGTCACCGGTGCTGAGTGCTGACCTTACTTGGTGGTGGCTGCCGAATCTCGTACAGTTGCTCGCTGGGGCACTGGGCTGACGGTTGGCTGACGAGGGCGGCATCGAGACGAGTAGACGGGCGGGGCCCCGGCGCAGACGGGCAGCTCCAGAGGTTCTACCCGCAGCTCGGTCCTCCTCCTCCGGTCAACTCTCAGCAGCACGGGTCACGGAGCCATCCTCCACCGCGCCGATCCCGCTACCCAGGCAATCTCGTCTCCTGCTCCTCCAGCGCGGCCGCCTTCCTCCTCCCGGTCGATCTGACTGCCCCTCTCCTCCGTCCCAACTGCTTCTCTCCTCCGGTCCTGACTGACTGCTCCTCTCCTCCCGTCCTCACTGACTCCCCTTTCTCATGCCCTCTCCGTTCTGCCTGCACTTGCCCTGGGGCTCTTCTCTGGTGCTCGTCCCTAGCTCCGCCCCTTTTTTGCTGTCCGCCGGTTCTCTCGAAGGGTTAGGTTCCAATAGGTTCTGCACGTTCTGTCGACCTTGACGTCAGTCCGCTGGCTGGTCTCGCTGGCCGGTTCAGTTTGGTTGAATCTCATGTAGATTTATACAGGCTGGTCGACCTTACTCCGCCGTTTTCTGACGCGCAGCCTCCGGAGGGGCCGTTGTCATGACAACGCCGGTGCCGGCTGCCCGGCCGCGCAGGTGCTGTACCGTTATGCGCGACCGTGTGACCGGGCCGTCCCCCCTCTTCGCGCCCTGTCGGCGGTCGGCTGTTATGACCGCTTTTGGCCGCTGACGCCGCGCAGCTGTCGTGGCGGGTGTCTGTTTGAAGCAGTTTGCTTTTGTGCCGAAACGTTTGAAATGTTAGAACCGAGAAATACGCTGCTTGTAAGAGTTGTTGTTCAGCAGACGGGCGGCGATCCCGGATCTCGAATAACGGTACTAAGCCCGTTATGCCGCTCCGACACCCTTTTGACGATGTGGCCGGGCTAAAAATGGATGTTTTCGGTATCTCGGCGCGGTGGGGGACCTGGTGGCCAGATGGGACGCTGATCAGCCGTAGCGTCGTAGCCCGTGTTTGCAGCCAGGAACAGAACGGAATTGAAGTTAGAAAAAGGTCTCCGTTGCAGCCAATGATGCTATTTGCAAAAAAATGATAGAAAATGTAACCGCATTAACGTTACATTTTCTATCCTCTTCTTTGAGTCGCGCCGCGGGGTTGAGTTGCAGTCTTATGTTGAGGTCCGTAAAATTGGCAAAATGTAACCGCCAGCGTTACATTAGCAGTGTTTACTTTAAGATCATTTGCACTGAACCAATGGTCGAGAGACGCCAGTGACGCTTCCAAGCGCGAGATGAGTCCCCTAAGGTCGTTTAAAGGGCCACTCACCAACAATTGAGTATCATCAGCGTACTGGAAGACTGCTGCATCCTCAGAATAAAGTGATAGATCATTGGAAAATACCGTGAAGAGTAAGGGACCGAGTGCCGAGCCTTGAAAGACGCCCATAGAGTTGGGGAGAGGTTGTGATAATACCCGGCGACCGGACTCGTCCTTCAATGACACACTCTGTGTGTGACCCTGGAGATAAGCGGCGAACCAGGATGTCTCTATGCCGTGCATTGCCAATTTAGCGAGTAATAACTCATGGTTGATGACATCAAAACATTTGCTTAAATCAATAAGGCATAGCATAGAGACATCCCCCCTATCGGTGGCGGCCAGGATTTGGTCACTGACGGACAGAAGTGCTGTCTCAGTTGAGTGCCGGGGTCGGAAACCGTGCTGGGTATTGGCCAGGAGATGGTTTTGGGAGAGATAGCGATAGAGCTGTTTGTGAATGACTCGCTCGACCACCTTCATAATGACAGGTACTAAGGAGATAGGTCGAAAATTAGTGGGATCAGATGGGTTTCCAGACTTGAAGATGGGGTGAACTATAGAGTGTTTCCAATGAAAGGGGATATCGGACCTTGAGATGCAAGTGTTAATGATGTGAAGGATAACGTCACCGATAGATGGGAAAGCGGTTTTCAGCATGCGAATGCAGACGCCATCAGACGCACAGGCGGCAGAATTGCGCATATTGAAAACGGTGTGACCGAGTTCACCGAGAGAGATAGGTCTGGGCTTAAATCTACCGGTTACGACACGCGGCAAACGGCCAATTTGCTCAACAACTGGATTTTGGTCACGGATCTCTGTAGCGACGCGGGGACCCACAGAAACGAAAAAAGAATTTAAAACGTCTCTGGTCGAATAAGTGAAGAACACGGGGAAAAACATCACCATGGACAGGTAAGATGGCAAATTCAATAGTTACTAAATTATTCGACTTTTCGTAAAAATGCTTCATCAACAATTATGATTGTCACAAAATGTAATATTTAGATAAATTTTGACACAAAACGTGCAATGAATATAACGGTATAAATGTGTCCGATCGTAAGCAAAACGCCCATAAAGTGTTGATATAGTTATGAAGGGAAATGACCAAAACAGTGTTATTGCATGAAGGATGTGCTTTATTCAAGATTTCTGACAGTTTTTGTTACTTTTGCTTACAGGTATTTCACGTCCATCCCCTGGTCGAGGAGCTAAGAGACCAGAAACGGCTGTCTTCTGTCGGCACACTGAACCGGAGCAAGCGGCTCCTTCCCAAGGAGATGACGGACCCAACAGGTCGGGAGGTTGGAAGCAACAAGATCTGCTTCCGGAACGGGGAGCAGCTGGCCTCCCACTGCCCCAAGCCGGGGAAGGTAATGCTGGTCGCCTCCACCCAGCACAAGATGCCAAAGGTCGACCATATCAGCGGAAAGCCGGAAATTTTGCTATTCTATAATAGCACAAAGGGGGAGTGGACGTATGTGACAATATCATCGCTCACTATACGTGTGCCGCGACCAGTAGTGAGATTTCGTTAGTGATCTTTGTGTCACAACAGGTGTCGGCATTGTTCTGTGTTTGTTAGCCTGTAAATTCCCACATGTTGGTGGGGAGAATGTGACGATTTGATGTCTTGTATCGGTTCCACCGGGCCGTCCGGCTGGCCGCCGCTGCTGCAGTCTACCCGGCGGGCACTCGGCCACATCAGACTTTCATTCACATGAGCTAGACTATGGCCAGCGCTGTAACAAACGGTGTCCTCTTCAGCCAGAGAATGCATTCTTCCCGGCCCTCATAAAGCAAAGGAGGAATATGGCTGACTTTGACCTGTCTGACAGGTATCTAAGAAAGATGGGTGGCCCTGATGCCCCCCCCCCCCCCCCCCGCGGCCGCCAATGAGTGGAAGACGAAGCAAAACAGGTCAGGTGAGACTCCCAAAAGAGGAGTTCCCTAAACAGGAGCTAGCGGACAAGATGCAGCAAGAAGAGGAGGAAGCGCTGAAGCACACACCACCCGGCTCAAAGGCAGGTGCCCCTGCTGCAACTGCCTGTGAGCTGGAGGCTCTGCCCGCAGATCAGAGTTGAGTTGAGTCAGAGTTAAGTCGGACAAAGATATTAAGGTGTTGCGTTGAGTCAGAGCTGAGTCAGTAAAATAACTTTTGACATTGAGTTGAGTCAAACATTTAACAAGACTGGCCTGATGGTGGCGGAGCTGCATGCTGAACAGCAGGGCCAGATGCTCGGACAAAAGCAGCTCCCAGCCTCCTTCCGCCCAGGCAAGGCTCCACAGGCCATGAAGAAGGACTCGTCTGAGTACCTGCACATCACCAGGAGCCTGCCGTCAAGATGATAGCTGAGAACTATCAGTCACTCTCTCTCGTGGAAAGCGAATCCTTCAGGCAGTTCGTCCACGAGCTGAACCCCAGGTCAGTACCTGCCTTCCTAATTCCTATACTTTAGTTAGGCTCAATTGATGGTTGAGTATGGATAATCATGTGAAATTTGTTCAGTGTGAATTGTGTAATTCAGTGAAAGGAAATTCCCCACCTTTCATCCTGTGTTTACCATTTTGAATGCTAATCAGAAAAGCATGCTATGAAGTTCACAGAAGAGGTAGAACAGACTCAAGATATTGCCTATTTTAGTCACAAATCAACATTTTTCATTAATTTTCATCATTACATCACAGCTCCTTTCCTTCAGCTAATCAGATTCCTTGTGCAACCAGAGATTCACACTCTAAAATCTATATAATGACTTTTCACTAATACTTCTCTATTTTGTACAGGCTGTACAAAAGGTTGCCTACAAATTGTGATCCATGGTTATAGCTGTAGAGAAAGTGTAACTATATAGTTACAAAGTTTATGATGACTCCTTGCTGTTAGGTATGTCATATGCTCATAGGTACCCAGTCCCTGGGAGACGCTTCGTGCGCTGCCGTCCCTAGCAGAGGGCAAGAAAGCTGCGCTCAAGAAAAGTCTTCTGCTCCTGCCAAAAGACAGCACTGTGTGCCTCACCATGGACCTCTGGAGCAGCCGGACACTTGTCGCCTTCTTGGGCATGACGGCCAACTTTGTGGCCCCAGAGCCGGAGACCAAACTGGGGGCGCGCCTGCTGGCCTTCAAGTAAGCAATGTGTAATATTTCTTATTTCACATTTCAAGTATGTAATTTAAAATGGTAATTTTGTAAAAATGATGGGTGTTTCAATTAAAAGGCTGAAATTTGAGGATTTGTGATCAACATTTAATCTGCCTTTTACTGTTTTCATATTTTGAAATTATGAGTATATCATAAAGCCTTAGCTAACATTTTCAGGAAAGGTCAGTCATACAAAACCTCTTTTAGCAGGTTAAGCTGGAGCTCGGCGACGCACCGACACAACAATATCTGACCTTCTAACAGTCCCCAAGATGCTCCCAGATGTCGGCCTCATTTTAAATCCTGCCAAATGTGAGGTGACAGTTTTAGACGACGCGGACGAAGATTAGCAAAACATGTTGATCCAGCAAGTAAAGCGGGCTCTCCCCTTCTGGTGTTGTTCCCAGCTCCGAATTAGCTCACCACTGGCTCATAACTAAATAAATCTAACCACTGGCTCATAGCTCCACAAAGCTTTCAGCCGTAAATTAGCTCACCATTGGCTCATAGCTCCAAAATAGTTCACATGATGGCTTTCAAACCGAATCAGTCTGATTCATGATTTCCACTTCCTAGCCCCAAACTCAGTCTAACCGCATCAATCACCCAGGCACAACATTAGTTATTGTGTGCAGACACTGTATGAAAATAGATCTTTATGGTCACCAATCTGTGTTGGTGTGCGCATGAAAACTCTCACTGAACTGACCCCGACTTCGGTGTGTGTTTTACCCGATCCCCGGACCTAAGTGGTAGATTAGCTGATCTCGTCAGCCGCGCCGGTGGCATTTTCCGGCGCACTTCCCGCGCCGCCACTGCCTCCGGCGTTGGCGGCGCGGTGATGGGAGAAGCATCAGGCTCGCCACCACCGCCGAGCGCCAGACGTCTCTTCACATCCCCCTCGTCCTTTCCTAGTGTGTCACTGGTCTGCCTTTTCAGGGCTCAGCCCCCAACAACCCACCGTGGCGGGCTCCGACTCGGCATCCTCCGACAAAGGGTTCACCGCCGGTCTGGCTGAAGTCTCCACTGCAGCAGCCGATGTTGAAGACGCCGCTCCTGATGATGCCGCAGAGGGAGTAACCCGTCCGGGAGGAGTTGGAGGACATGAGTCGGCGTGTGGAGGCGTGACGTCCGTCTCTGGAGTATCCCAGGAGTGGTTTAGATGGTCTCCAGCGGTCCCAGACTGCAAACAGAGAGAAGTGGCGGGGTGGTATTGTCCCGACGTGCCCTGATGTGTCCAGAGATGATGCGCTTCCGAGAGATTATGAGCTCTGATGATGAAGCTACATGCTATAGTTCGTTTTTTCTAAGTTTGACCCCCACTGTAAGCATCTTTTTGAACACGGCACGAGAATTGCTAGCTGAATTACTAAGAAAACTGATTGGCGCACATTGATTTCACAGACGATCAGCCTGATCAAAATTAGTTCTACCTGGCTCCCATTTCTCAGACTCATAGCTCGTATTTGGCCTTATTTATGACCCCACAGGGGTAGACGACTTGTCAGGAATTATCACTGAACTAATTAAGAAATCGCACGGCGTATAACATAACGATCCATCATCGGGGTTCAAACCTTATTTTGAATACATCATTCATATCCTCCATACAATGTGCGCTGACCAGTTGTCTCAGTAAGTCAGCTAGCAATTCGCGTGCTGTGTTCAAAAAGATGTTTACAGTGAGGGTCAAACTAAGAAAAAAAATCGAACTATAACCAGTATAACGCCTTTTGGGGCGACTAACGGAGCGAGCGAGAGGGTGGGCCTTGCACGTGCGAAATTTCGAGGGGGTACCTCCAACTGACTTGTGCACGGCACCCTACTAACTGGTTTCTAGCGATGTGCCAAATTTGGGCACAATCGGCCCAGCCGTTCTCGAGATCTGGAAGCGGCACCCTGCACGTGCGCACGTGCAAAATGGGTCCCAACTGACTTGTGCACGGCACCCTACTAACCGGTCCCTAACCGTGTACCAAATTTGAGCGCAATCGGTCCAGCCGTTCCCGAGATCTGGAAACGACCCCTGCACGTGCGCACGTGCAGCAGCACCCCAACTCTGGCACATGTATATGCAGTGCCTAGTGGGTGCCTACCTACATGCCAACTTTCAGCACAATCGGCCAAGTAGTTACCGAGATATTGCAACAATTACAAAACTGACACCTCTTCGTTTTGCACGTGGCACGTGCATAAGGGGTCACCCACATGCATCGGGAATAGTCCAATACTTGGTAGAAGGAATGAAGCTACCCTACAAAAAATACCGCGTGTAAATCGGTCAAGTGGTTGCTGAGATATAAGCCTCGCAAAAGCGTGACCACGGCCGGCCGGCCGGCCGGCCGCTCATACTCAGAAATTTCCGTTAATCTAAGGAAAGACTACGCTCGCTTCGCTCGCTCCGTAATAACACGAAAATATTGATAGGAATCATATAAACAGATGGAATGCGAAAAGATTATTTCCGTTTTCCAACATAAAAAGTCCCGAACACGAACACATTTAACGCAACTCAGGAGTTGAAAGTCAGCATTCGATATGAATGACAGCATTTAACAACGCTGATTCTTTAAACTTGAATAAAAACTGTCGCAATACGAAAAAATCGTACAATACAACATCCTGTGGTTAGAATCGAACCCACTCACTCGCAGTAACTCACCTCATCGTCGCTGCCGTGCTCCGAGCCCAGCGAATCTCTGTCACTGTCCGAGTCGTCAGGATCGACCAGCACCTCCACTCCGGGGAAAATGTACCGGGACGGCGGCTGGTGCAGATAGGCGCCCTCTGTTGAAGAGAAAAGGCGTCCTCATTGTCAATTATACAATGAGCCAAAGGCTATTACTTCCTTATTTTTTAATCATAATGGGGCTCCACACAATTTTCAAAGAAACCCTCAATATCATTCAAAATAAAAGGCGTCCATCAGGAAAACACGTAGCGAGGAAATCACGTACCACCATGTTACACGCCCACAGACATACAAATTAAAAGATGTTGATAGTGGGAGCCAATGACACTTGCAATCAATGCGGTGAATTTATTTCTGACTGGACGAACCAACAGCACGGGGGAGCGAGCCGTTAATCAAAGCCATCCACACGCCCGTGCCTCGACCGCCGGCTGCTGACCCCGCCCCGGGCCACGCGGCAGGGGCGGTACCAGGCACGCCCAGTCGGGAGGTGCCAGACTAATTAGGGCGGTCGCAGACACCCGAATAAAATATCCTTCGATGAGTAACTCTCACCAATCACGCGTAGATTGAAACGATTCAGCTAAACTTACACACCAATAACACCAGTATAACGCCTTTAGGGGCGACTAACGGAGCGAGCGAGAGGGTGGGCCTTGCACGTGCGAAATTTCGAGGGGGTACCTCCAACTGACTTGTGCACGGCACCTTACTAACCGGTCTCTAGCGATGTGCCAAATTTGAGCACAATCGGCCCAGCCGTTCTCGAGATCTGGAAGCGGCACCCTGCACGTGCGCACGTGCAAAATGGGTCCCAACTGACTTGTGCACGGCACCCTACTAACTGGTCCCTAACCGTGTACCAAATTTGAGCGCCATCGGTCCAGCCGTTCTCGAGATCTGGAAACGACCCCTGCACGTGCGCACGTGCAGCAGCACCCCAACTCTGGCACATGGATATGCAGTGCCTAGTGGGTGCCTACCTACATGCCAACTTTCAGCGCAATCGGCCAAGTAGTTACCGAGATATTGCAACAATTGCAAAACTGACACCTTTTCGTTTTGCACGTGGCACGTGCATAAGGGGTCACCCACATGCATCGGGAATAGTCCAATACTTGGTAGAAGGAATGAAGCTACCCTACAAAATTTACCGCATGTAAATCGGTCAAGTGGTTGCTGAGATATAAGCCTCGCAAAAGCGTCCGCACGGCCGGCCGGCCGGCCGGCCGCTCATACTCAGAAATTTCCGTTAATCTAAGGAAAGACTACGCTCGCTTCGCTCGCTCCGTAATAATGAACAAAAGCTAACAAATAGCCACATTGCTGGGAATTCAAACAGTCGAGAGTCTCGATTTCAATCGCGATGGTAAAATCTTAACAAAGCGACACAGAACAAATATACTCAAATCCAGGACCATGGTGTGGCCAACAGCCTTTCAGTTGATTGCAAATACACTGCTTTTTCTACCAACACAACAAGCCGGCTACCTATCTATCTAGACCGGTGGCGAGCTACGCCCTACTCCAAAATCACTCTTAAAAATTCCGCTCCTCTCGGGATTCGATCCCGCACTCACCGGGTAGTCTGGCAGCGACGCTCTCCTTCAGTTTCCTCTGCCAGCAGTGCCGGAGGGCGTCAGTGTCATTCTCGTTGGTCGGATCGGCCGGCGGTGAGGACGGCGCAGATGGCGCGGGGCGAGAGGGTAGTTCAGTGAGCTCCCTCAGAGGCGGAGAGAAGGACCCTCCTCCGTCATCGGTAAGGAGCCCGGAGCATTAGCCGCCGAGCCTGAGAGGGAAGGGGAATGAGCGTCAGTGTTTTTACGGCTATAGGTACTACTTGATAGAGTATCATTATGGGTGAGCACTGAGCTGCAGGTGCAAGACCACTACCTGCAAGAACATAGGCAGCCACCCAGAGAAGAGTGAAATGACCCTGATTGGCTTGCAGACCCGGCACTCTCGGCCCGCCTGACCGCCCACGGAAGGAACGTTCGGCTCTCGTTCTACTAAACAAGTGTAATATTTGCTATTTTGACGTCCCAAATCGCTATTTAAGTTATTCAGTGTGCCTGTGCAGAAAATGCATTCCTCTGCTAGATTTAAAGCATGTCTTTTACTCTTTAAAGCAAAACTACAATTACATTTGTTTGTTTGCTGGGGGTTAGGGGCGCGCCGACTGCAAGGTAAACTACAATTACACTTCAAAGTTCAAAGCCTTTTAGGTATTTTGTCAGTATTATAACTAAATGCCACTGCTATCATATTCAAATGACAATAAACATTACATTCAAAGTTTTCAAGTCAATTGTCAGTGTCATCAGCCCCATATGACTCTCCAGGACTCTAGTAGGTGCATTGCCCCATCACCCACCTTGAGCAGTTCCCTGAAGTACAGACTGCAGGCAGACAGCATCATCCTGTGGGCCCGGACATGCTGTCCCTCACAGCAGAGCGTGACGCCCAGCAGCTCCCCTCCAGAGCAGAGCTGGTCAAACACAGACGTGACGCTGTCCTGGAACCAGTCCCATTTGAGGCAGAACTTCTGAGAGTCCATCCTGGAGGGCTGAAGATCAGGGGCAAGGCAGCAATTGGTTAGTTCATGAGAGGTGATTTGTTCCATTCTGGTTTGTTCAGTTTGGTTCTGATTTGGTTCCTTGTGTGATCCTGGTATCCACTCTCAACCAATTCAAGACCAGACCGGACAATTACTGAAACCGAATCAGATACTCTATCCTAATTCCTAGATTAGCTTCCACGAGAGTCCTCAGTTCAGGAGCTTGATGCCATACTCCATAGGGACCCTACAGGCCTGAGGCCAATGGCCATGGTGGCCATCAAAATTCCTGTACTGGTAAGGTACCTGAAGTAAGAAGTAAAGCAAAAAAAAAAAACGGTTTTTATATACTAATACCGTGATCTGGGTGTGCTTCTATTTTTATGTAAAAACTAAAAAGCAAAACAACAGAGCTAGCATAGGTACCAGAGGGGTGTTCACGGGCACCGCAAACTGCTGAGTGTGGTGTGTGCATTGTGGGCCGCAGGCGTGGGGGTAGGGGATGGCTTGGGGGATGGGTAGGCGGTTCTGACGTCACGGCTGCGTGCGGTGGACAGTCCGCTGTGGCAGGTCCCGACCGGCCAGGAGCGGTGTCGGAAGGCTGACATAGGGACACAGTGGGCGGAGCTTGGAGGCTGTGTACGGTCCGACCGCGCACAGGAGCCCGTGAACAGCCCTCAGATATATATGACGCAACCGCGACATTTGCAGCGCAATTTGACGGATGCTCCATGGGTTACCTTTGAATTTTAGCTGGTAAAAATTAACATACGGCTCGGAAATACGAACTGAGAAATAAAAAGACTCTTGCCATTCACAACAATCATCGAGAAACACCCACTACACCCACATACAACAACAACCACCAACATGCGCGTCGAAAACCACTCAAAACACGCGTTGATATCATGCATATTTACGTCTGGACAACGAGTTGCGGGGAAAAGTGCTGATTTTGCCGCAGTTTTAGGAGCCGGTTATTAGGCTGGATTTTTGGGTTACTTTTTCGTTCCGATTCCTGTATTTCATAGTGTTTGGCTCTTGAATATTTTAGTTCTTCCAGAAAAATATTAATTACCATACAAATTTTGTAAAAATGTTTCATTTTTTTATAAGCCGACCGCTAGAGTCCTAAAACAATACATCAGCACTACAATTATTGTAAACAAACAAATGGAGCACCACTTGGCTCCGTTCTGCTCCGTTCCAAGGCATTTTATCTGGTGGTTTTCGAACTCTAGTATGTCGTTTTGTTGGAAGTTTTCAATCCCTTGTGACTGAATTATATCATATTAAAGAAGCATGTTGACTGAAAACGATCCCAAGTTGAAGTTGAAGTATACAGGAGACTGAAGAGTCCTGAGTCCTGAGTAATATCAGGTTGAAGCTGGGAAATGTTGGTTGATAAACGCAAGTTGATCTGGCTCACTTATCAGCAAGAAAAAAAGTAAAATTAAAAGAGCTTATTGGCCGAAAACAAGCTATAATAGTTATTGCAGGAGATCAATACTGAAGAGCACGCGCACGCGCAGTATCAAGCTAGTAAATGTTGGCTGATGAACGCGTATTAGATGTATTGGTATGAATATTGAAATATAACTTACAGCAGCAAGATCAATGAGTGCTAACTATCAAGTGAAAAATTCTAGAATGAACGAACCCAGGCAGCTTTACTTTGCTATGCAGATGGTAATGTGCATTAGGTACTCAGTGTCTGGCAAATGAAACATGCGATCATTCTATTGCTACTGGAGAAGAAAGCTTGGATCACTAAATCAGCTTAATGTTTAATTTGATGTTCATCATTACTTTGCATTTCTTGAAAAAAGGATTTAAGTAAAATTGTCAATGTGAAAATCCATGCAACGATGTGATCATGTCATGTGTTCATAGTCATTCGTGATGGTGATTATTGGTCTAATATACACAAGCAAAGCTGTCAGCATTTCTTTCTGTGGATGGCCAGAAGGGACTCAGAACTTAGAAGTATTAGGTTTTCACAGGGCTGGGATAAAAAGTACTGAGGGACTGAGGGTAATCTTCCAGAAAGGAACTTTATTTTGACTTGGTATGAGATGTAGGCACAATTTAGGTAGGTGCTCAGTAGTTTAGTAGTTATGTAGGTATAGTTGGGTTAGCTAAGATTAGGTCATGCTAGTTTTTTTTTTAATTTGCCAAGTGTCCATAAAAAATGTGACCTGATCAATTCATACCGGACTAACCTGACCTAACCTCAATCATCACACTTATTTGCAACTTACCCAAGACCTGCATAGCATTAGCACCCAGTTACAGGTACTAGGTACTCAGTACTCACCCTAACTCAATCTTACCTGCTAACCTTCAACTTGACAACAGTTAGCTCACCTTGCCAAACCACATCCAGGGTAACAGCAGCCAAATGAGGAACTGGCTCATTGGGTGGCTGGTGCGAGTCTGTGCATTTTAAGTGTTTCTTCTCTGAAGCTGCTCTGCACTGCTGTATGCCATGTTTGACGCTCAGAAAAATGTGGGAAATGTAACTAAGCTAGTTTAGTGCTTTGTTCCTGCTCGAGACATCATTAAGTACAAATCCTGCGGGGTACAGCTATGAGATGAGCTAGGTGAGTAAATTATTTGAATATGCTGTTTGACTGTAGTAAATATACAAACAATCACAGGGTCACAGTTAGGTATATTCAATTTCCGCATAAACATTCAACAAAACGCCCATGCCTCACTCCGAGCACACAACAAATAACTTTAGCCTTTGCAGGCACAAAAATACTTTGATTTACGGGATGGGTATACAATATATCCTCTGTCCTTGGGGATCTTGCTGCAAAGTTTGAGTTGAAGTAAGATGACTGAACTTCAGGACAAGGTATGATTAACTTTTTCTTCTTAGCCACTGCTTATGTACGAGAAAGACTAAATGCTTGGTTAATCAACGCCTTGAAAATATAATGATCCATCTTCAATTCGACATGAAGCCACAAAGAAATTAGTCCCACTTCTCTCTCCTCTTGGAATACACAAACCAAAATATTTAATAACTTCTTCTTAGTGTGAGTGGAGGGACATGGACAAGAGCAATTATCATAGCTTCCCTTCAAGTTAACCTCTGGCAGTTGGCACTGATCACACGGACACCTCTGATTGATCCAAGATAAAATTGAAATGTGTAAAACTGTCTAGTCAATCATGGAAGGAACGGATGAACTTGAGGTGAATATGATATTTTGCGATATACATCAACGTTGCCTTGGAACTTTTTTGCAGGTTCGCTTCATATTTTGTAACAAACGCGCAAAAACTGCAATAAAACAGCACTATATGCTTCTGGACAAAATACAATGACAGTAAAAAATAAGCCCTGATGGTATTCATTCTCGGCCAAAATCCAATCACAAAATATTTTGTAGTAAGAACTAAATTTCGGCTAAAAACCGTGCACGTTTAAAAAAAGAATCATTCCAATGACGGTCCATTATTGCGGTCCTGAAATCGCCACTATTTCCGGCCTCTCCAACGCAACTCGTTGTCCAGAGGTAAATATGCTGATATCATCAACTTGGCATCAACCTAGCGTGAAATTTGCTTAAAATGCACATTGAATTTGTCAAACATAAATGACGTCATTAAAGACTTTGCAAGGTTTCTTTTATGATTTGATGCCATTTGATGCATACTTCAAGTCAATAAGCAGCCATTCAATAAGGGAAAACTATAATAAAGTACATATGCCCTTTTAGAAATTGCAAAAGTTGTAATAGCATGTGCAATTTTGTCGTAAAACTTTTTGATAACTTTATTCATGGTAAATTTACAATCTTTCTTGTGATATTCCTGGTGAATTTTTTCATCCTTATTTTAAATTTTACTACATCATCTTGACAAAATTACAGGATAATAAAGAAAATAGTAACTTAATGGAAGAGAAAGGGAATCTTGCCTCAATAAATATTTGATTTATTTCTATGAAACCTTGAATGTATTTTCCGGTCCCAAGCAGAAGATGAATTGGAATGTAAACAGCAACAAACAAGAAGCAGGAAGTGGCAGGAAATGGAAATATATGGCTTTGGGCAGGAAGCCAAGTTTCAAAAGCCAAGGCTTTTGAAACATAGGGTATAATTAAATTAGATCGCTTGGATCTATATTGGAAAGCAACAGATTGATATTTAAGCTCCTATAATATCGCGATTGTGTTGTTTTTGCCCTTGCTTGCTGCTGCGACCGTTGATTATATCGTAAGATGGAAGTCGAAGATGGGAAGTTTAGACACATACGACAGTTTTTTGCCGAGGACGCCTGGGAAGCCCTAAGTGATCTCGAGAAGCAAGTTTATTGTAACATGAAGTCCAACTATGACAAGTTATCTGAACTCGGTGAGTCAGAGCTACCCATTTTTTACGTTTTTATATGTTTAACCCTCGCCCGTATTGGTGTTTTTCCAGCCGCGAACGTATAATGGCCCTTTCACACGTAGCAACTTTTCCGGTCGCCGGCGACGGCAACTGTCGCCGGCGATCGCCAGCGACCGGGGTCAGTCGCCGGCGATCGCCAGCGACCGGGGTCAGTCGCCGGCAACTCCGCAGTTGTCGATATCAGCTGACCAGTCGCCGGGGTGTGACGTAGCAGTCGTGTCAGCCAATCATTGAAGAGTTGTCGGCGTTGCCGAGAAAGTTCAATTTTTCCAACATTTTGAAGTCGCCGGCGACTGTACTAGCCAGCCGCCGCTCAGCTGTCACGTGACCCGCTTGACCTTGAGTTGGCACCAGATATTGCGCTGCTGATACATGCAGCGGCGCAGCTTATTTTACTGCATTATTCAAGGTACTAAATATTTGGACATGTTTTGCAGGATGATAACTACCGTCTAGGTAATATTGGAATAATATTTATTAGATCTACGAGTATTATTGAAACAATACATAATATCAATGAAAATACAATCAAACTGCGATTCTTCTACATTGGAATTCAATGCACTCAAGCATAAAACTGAAAAGTGATGTGTACTTGCAGTTCCTCCATTTTTCCTAACGCATCAGCCAAGACTACGAGTGCTGCAGATTTTGCTCACCTGTCTTGTTTATTCAACTACAACCCTGTTCTCAATAAATGAATAACTTCGCTGTAACGACATTAGCATTGAAGGAATGGTTGGTGGTAAGCATGGGACAATCACAGTGATTTGTGGTCACACATTTGAACCGTGCTTTGTATATGAAAAACAGAAAAAAAGGCATTCTAGAAATGTAGCAGAAATTCAAATGCCAGAAACGGACCTGAGGAACGGCGAAGCCCACCACCCACATAAAACACAGGCTTTCATTATGTCAAAAACAGATGCTGTATTATCTAAAGCGCTGGATTGGGGAACACAAGTGTACCCCCCCCCCCCTTATAACAAAATGCATTTTTCCACACAGTGGATATCACTAAACATGGCGAGGTGACAGTATATGACACCATACATAAAAATGCAGCACGCGCGGACACGGGGCAAAGACGGTGGCACAATATGCCGATACCCAAGAAGACACAAGCCTAGGTCAAAGGTGACAATACTGTGACAGAAATCTTAAAATCAGCCTGGACACAGCTCACTCTTCATGACCGTTTTTTTTCGAAAATAGACCAACAAAACACCAAGGCTCCTTCGTCCAAAACTCGACATGCCGCTCCAAAGGCCTTGCAAAACAGCGCACACCAACAACGCATAATAGCCAGCAACGCACACGACAGGATTTTCGAGGCCCGAGTCGTCAGCCGCCGCCGCCGCCGCCACCTCCCGGCAGCTGATTGCTGAGTGCCTTGCTCCGGCTTGCCGCACCGCCCACCGCCGCCGATCGTGGCGACCTCTTTACTCTGGCAGAATCGACCCTACCGAGCGGCGACACCATTCAGAAGCAAAATGACAAA